ATCAACCACCATTTTTGTTAAAACAGCCTTAGGGATGATTTGAGGGGAATTCAACCGCTCTCCCAGCTGCCAGCCACTCCTCGCCTCACATGGCTTTTACCTACACCCAGCAGGCCCAGGCACTACAATGTTTAAGTCAAGCAAAAACTGTTCCTGGTTGGTTGGTTGGTTGGTTGGTTTCTTAAAATCATCTCTAGGATATGGACTCTCTCAGTCTACACTGAGGGGCCAAGCTACATGACACCATCCCTAGAAAACAGAGCTCCTGCAAATGTCACTCCATTCAGCAGAATCAAGGCCGGCCCTTTGGTACCCGCAGAGGGGAGCTCAAATGATGCCCCCATGCCTGCTCGCGTGGGCCAAAACTTGGAAAAGTCTGCATCCTCCAGCACAGCACTCCACCATCTCTGTGCATCTAGAGCAGAGAGAACACACATGAACCAGCAGCAGACACATTTTTCTACACTCTGGGTCCTAGTGATACCCCCCCTCCAGTCTGGCACCTGAGGCAGCCACCTCAGTTCACCTCATGGTAAGGCCGGCCATGAGAATCACTCCTTGCTCAAGAGGAACAAACTGGAGAAATGGTCTGAGGTGGAGTTAAGGAGAAATGCAAAGTGCTCTGCTTAGGTAGGAAGGAACAGTCCATGTCGCACATACCAAATGGGAAGTGACTGCCTGGGAAGGAGTCCTGCAGAAAGGGATCTAGGGGTCAGAGTGGACCACAAGCTAAATATAAGTCAACAGTGTGACACTGTTGCAAAAAAAGCAAACATGATTCTGGGAGGTATTCACAGGAGTGTTGTGAGGAAGACACAAGAAGTCATTCTTTCACTCTACTCGGCGCTGGTTAGGCCTTAACTGGAGTATTGTGTCCAGTTCTGGGCACCACATTTCAAAAAAAGATGGAGAAATTGGAGAGGGTCCAGACAAGAGCAACAAGAAGGAGTAAAGGTCTAGAGAACATGACCTATGATGGAAGACTGAAAGAACTGGGCTTGTTTAGTTTAGAAAAGAGCAGACCGAGAGGGGACATAACAGTAGCTTTCATGTATCTAAAAGGGTGTCACAAGGAGGAGGAAGAAAAATTGTTCTCCTTGGCCTCTGGTGATAGGACAAGCAGCAATGGGCTTAAACTGCAGCAAGAGAAATTTGGATATTAGGAAAAACTTCCTAACAGTCGGGTTGGTTGAACATTGGAATAAATTGCCTAGGGAGTTTATGGAATCTCCATCACTGGAGATATTTAAGAGCAGGTTAGACAGACACCTGTCAGGGATGATAGACGACAGTGCTTGATCCTGATGTGAGGACAGGGGACTGGACTTAGTGATCTCTTAAGGTCCCTCCCAGTCCTGGTATTCTATGATTCTGTAAGCTTCATGTTTCAGAGGGGTAGCCAGGTTAGTCTGTTTCAGCAAAAACAGCAAGGACTCCGGTGGCAATTTAAAGATTAGCACATTTGTTAGCATATTAGGGCAGAAGTTTTCATGAGCTACAACTCACTCTCTCAGATGCGGAAGAGAAAAGAAAGGGAAAAAGGGGGGATACAGAGATGGGAGCTAATTCAGTGCTAATTTAATGAGAGTGGACGGAGCTCATCTCCCACAGTGATGAGAAGGCGAGATTGCCTGCATGGGAAATGATCTATTGTAATCCAAGAACCATTCCATGCCTCTATGTAATGCTTGTTTCAGGGTGTCAATTGTGCATAAGAATTCCAGCTCAGCAGTTTCTCCTTGCAGTCTGTTTTTGACATTCGGATTCTTTGTTTGGCCTCAGAAGGGTGGCCTGGAGGACCAGCAGATCTTTGGAGCTTTATGGAGGGAAGAAGTGCAATAGCCCGGCAGGAAGTTTATTCCTCTCCCTCTCATCCAACATGCAGTTTTGTGGCTCAAAAGGACCAAGGGCCAAATGACACAAGCCCTGTTACTTCGATTTATAAGGGCCTGAGCCAGTATGTACAGAAGCTGCTCCACCAGCTTTGGGTCAGGTCCTTCATCCACAACATGTAGGAATGCAATGACAGAACCTCAAGAGCATGATTGCAAATTAGCATCTACGACAAGACAGCTGATTTCCTGCAGGGATGGCTACCAGGCTGCAGAAATGCCCCCACAGCCCTTCACGCCCTCTCACAGGTTCGTTTTACACCTGTAGTAACTCAGAATCCTCTACAATAACTTGCCAGTTTGCTCGGTTGTTGAACTTTATGCTACAGTTCTTAAGGCTGTGAAGGCATATATTTCGGCTGAAAGCAGCCTCCAAAATTTAATTGAACTCGCGAATCAGCACTTTAGATCAGCACCTTACTCACTGCAGTAACCACAGTGAGTCCTTAAAAAACAACGTCCGTGCCAATCTAGACACGCTTTTCCGCAAAAAATCCCCGATCGCCATTTTCACGATCAGGGCTTTTTTGCGGAAAACAAATCTGAGCTGTCTACACTGGCCCTTTTGCGCAAAAGGGACTTTTGCCTGAACGGGAGCAGAATAGTATTTCCGCAAGAAGCACTGATTTCTTACAGTAGGAAGTCAGTGCTTTTGCAGAAATTCAAGTGGCCAGTGTAGACAGCTGGCAAGTTTTTCCGGAAAAGCGGCTGATTTTCCGGAAAAACTGGCCAGTCTAGACACCGCCTTAGAGTATTTGCGCTAAATCTTGCCAGTCTAAACGTAGCAGCAGAGAATTTCCTGCCTCGAATGCCATTGAACAAGTTCCTGTTTAAAAGGCGGCTCCATTCCATTCCCTAGAGCAGGGGTGAGGAACCTAAGGCCCGGGGACCACATGTGGCCCCCAGCTTGCCTGGATCCATTCCCCAAGGCTCGGGGTTCCTCCCAGTATTAGGAAGTCCATGCTGATGCTCCAGCCCTCCTGCCATCCCCCCATGGAGCTGGAGCACACAATCTACTAGCCTGGCGCCCCCAAGACTCGGGTGTGCAAGGGGAATGTGGAGAATGTCTTTCTCTTTCTCCATCGGGAGGTGCCTCAGGGTTTTTTGGGGGGGTTCTCACTTGTGCATCCCCCGACTGGTTTTTTGGTGCATCAGCGGTCCCTAACCCGAAAAAGGTTTCCACCCCTGCCCTAGAGGGCATGCAAATTGTTAAGGCTCCAAGACCATACACACACACACACACACACACACACACACACACACACACACACACACACACACACAGTGCCATGCCAAATGGGAGCTTTCCACTAGTGAATTTCCAGTGGGCTGACCCAAACCCCAGTCCTGCAATATTTCACACGCTTGAGCATTCCCCTGGAGTTCAACTGGGATATATGGTCGAGGGGGTTACTCACAGGGGGGCGTGCGTGTGTTTGCCACTCTGAGCCGGTGCAGAATTGTAACGCCTGCACTGAAAAGCAGCGGGTGCACAACTACAGGATGACCCTCAAATCTCTGGAGATCCGAAGCAGCTTTGCCGGTCAGTCGCACGCAGACTCTGTCTCTGACCTAAACTCACATGAGATCAGATACACAGAGGGCTACGGAGCACTGAGCTGGCCGAAATGGTTTTGAGCTGACTGACAAGTACAAAACCTGCAGTGTGTAGACACAGACCTTTTACTTTAAAAGCTGACTTCTTTTTTTAAATCAGTTCTTTTAAACCTTCCCTTTGTCCCCTGTAATCACTCTTGGCCTGGGGTTTCCTACGTCAACACTGTAAAACAAAGCAAATATTTACCACTGACCTACATGGAAAGCTGTAAGCCAATGCAATGACAATGCAGGTGTATAAATACCTCCGGAAACTCAGATGTGTGTGTGTGCGTGTGCGTGTGCGTGTGCGTGTGCGAGAGAGAGAATCTACCTGAGGAGCTACATTTTGAATGCCTTCGTTTCAATCCTTGCATGTGAAAATACAAGGAAGATTAATATTTCCCCTACACGTGACTTACATATTTGTTCTAGTTTTACTTGAAGGCCAGGAAAAGGTGCTCTCTGTGTGTCTCTCTTGCACACACTGCATTGAGAAAAATCTCGCTACGTTGCGACTTTCAAGCTTTGTGCATCTCACTCGTGGAAACCATGCTAGTAACACAACATAAGAGCTTTCTAGACCCAAGATTAACCCTGTCACAGCCCATTCCATAACATTCATCAGAATAGGGAATGTATAGTGCCAGTTGCAGCACAAAGTTAGCAATTTCAAGAAGTTGGGATGTCAAAAATAGTCAGACGACATTCCCAGTGACAGGAATTGTAAACCCAAAGTACCACAGACAAGAACATTGTGTAGCCTACTAGACAAACAGCAGTGGAAAACAACCTAACACGATTTATTGCTATTTAGTTTCAATCCTTGCTTCCAGAGCCATGTGCAAGTTAGAATTCATGCGGCATGCAGTGGAACCAGCTATAACAACATCTCTTAATGAGACACTGTAATTGTGCTCTGAACTTACACTGTCTGTTTACTCCCCAGCAGCGCGGTGCTCACAACAGACGCGGGGAAACCGTGCAGCTTGAAGTCTTGGGAGCAGGGAGATGGCTGGATTGAAGCTAATGTGATCAGAGAGAAATTAATTTGTTTTATTGGAGAGCTGGAGCTAGATACGGTCAGTCATGCTCTTGTATTCGTAAACAAGGATGATCTTTTGGAGTCTGATTTACGAGGAAGCTGACTACTGCGCTGGCCTTGGGTTTCTTCAATAAAATGTCTCATGTGTGGGCTGGCAGAATCCTGCTCTTCTCTTATTGCATGTGAATACTGGGACACACACAGCAGCGAGGCTGCTGACTATACCATCCTCAGGGACCGACGTACAAAAGCGCGGTCACCCACATGTCTGCTAACGGGGGAGATGAGAGAGGTCTATAAAATCACGACTGGTGTGGAAAAAGTGAATAAGGAAAAGTGATTTAGTTATTCCCACAATATACGAACTAGAAGTCACCAAATGAAATTAATAGGCAGCAGGTTTAAAACCAACAAAAGGAAGGTTGTTTTCACTCAGTGCACAGTCAACCTGTGGAACTCCTTGCCAGAGGATGTGGTAAAGGCTAGAATTTTAACAGGGTTCAAAAAAGATCTAGATAGCCATTGATGGACCTAACCTTCATGAATCTATTAGCCAAGATGGGTAGGAATGGTGTCCCTAGCCTCTATTTCTCTGGAAATGGGTGACAGGGGAGGGATCACGTGAGGATTACCTGTTGTGATCCCTCCCTCTGGAGCATCTGGTATTGGCTGCTGAAGGCAGACTGGGTTAGATGGACCTTTGGTCTGACCCAAAATGGCCATTCTTATGTTCTTAATGTGATATGCCATCATGTGCCAGCAACGCTCCTCTGCCATGGACATCAGACAAACCCGACTGTCTCTACGCAAAAGAATAAATGGGCACAAATCAGACATCAAGGCTATGTCTAGACTACATCCCTTTCTTGTAAAAGGGATGTAAATTAGACCTATCGCAAATGCTAATGAAACGGGGATTTAAACGGCTTCATTAGAATAAAATTGCCTGCCGCTTTTTTCCACACGGAGCTTTGCCAGTCTAGACACTGATCTTGCAGAAAATAAAGCCTTCTCCGAAAGATCCCTTATCCCTCTATGAAATAAGGGATCTTTCGGAAAAGGCTTTATTTTCCGCAAGATCAACGTCTAGACTGGCGCTTTTTTCTGACAAAGCACCACGCGGAAAAAAAGCGGCAGCCATTTTTATGCTAATGAAGTGGGGGAGATTTAAATCCCCGCTTCATTAGCAATTGTGATACGTCTAATTTACATCCCTTTTACGAAAAAGGGATGTACTCCAGACGTAGCTCAAGAGTGGAAACATGCTCTCCCACCGGTGTTTGTACTTCCACCTCCCTGGACACATAGTTACAGACATGAAAGCTGCCATTCTTAAGCAAAAAAATGTCAAAACCAGGCTGCCATGTGATACTGCGGAACAATTCCCATGCACATTTGACACTATCAGAATGGGTCCGATGCAGCTGGGTGCTATTGTCAAAGCAGCACAGAGCCTGTCAGGACCCGTCTGTGCTCAGACAGCTGTTTTAAATACATTTTAAAAGCCACTGATTCTTTGGCGGTGGGGGGAGAAGGGCGGCACAGGGGAGATTTTTGATCTAGGTCAGGGCTGGGTGACCAGCAGCCTGGGGGTCACATGCAGCCCATGCGGGTGCTGCGTTTGGCTCACAAGACATTTTGTTTTCTACTGCCCCGCATGCAGGGTTGCCAGATTCCACGGGGTTCCGCTAGGGACGGTAAGAAGCGTGCGATTCGCTCCGCGGGGGGTCGACAAAGCACTGGCCACCCACCCGATTCATCGATAAGGGATAGCGCTGCAAGCACTCAGCCCCAGGTCGCGCTGGGCGACCCTGCTGCAGCTCTGCATGCCAAGTAATTTAGGAGCCGGCAGGCAGGCAGCCTGGCTCAATCGGGGAGCTCCATGCATGTTATTGCAGAGTCGCAGCGGGCGGTAATTCCCGGGACCCGGTGCAAGCTGGGACGGAGCCAGGTCTGCCGGCCAGCCCACTAACAAATTTACCGGGCAGAACCATTGGGGAGCAGAGGGAGAAGGTTGCGCATAGCCAGCAGCATTAATCAAGAAGCACCTGCTGATCAGTGAATCGTTTCGCCGGCTACCCGGCTCACTTCTGGGCTCCACCGGGCAAGACACCGAGTGGAGCAGAAAGCGCCTCTTAGGACTGGCCCCCTCCCCAAGCCCTGGGGGCAAATGGAGCAGAGGATGTCGCCTCCTTCTAATAACGCCCTGGGCTTCACCCCAAGGCAGCTGCCTCGCTAACCCGCTGCAGTGATCCTAAGGTACCACGGGCGAGAGGTTCTGCTCCGTCTCCCCTCCCCCTGCTGCCATCCAAGAAGTCTGGGTGCATCCCACAGAAAGGGAGCCCCCCCCCAAACGCTCTCTCAATCCTCCAGCCCAGCCCTCCTTGGCCAAAGCAGCACCGCTGCCTTTGGCTTCCTTCCACCCTGCGGGCTAGAAAGCCAGAGCAAGCTGGGGGGCGGTACCACGGGCGAGAGGTTCTGCTCCGTCTCCCCTCCCCCTGCTGCCATCCAAGAAGTCTGGGTGCATCCCACAGAAAGGGAGCCCCCCCCCAAACGCTCTCTCAATCCTCCAGCCCAGCCCTCCTTGGCCAAAGCAGCACCGCTGCCTTTGGCTTCCTTCCACCCTGCGGGCTAGAAAGCCAGAGCAAGCTGGGGGGCGGGGGAGGGGGTCTGTTGTCACCCTGTAATGTCCGGCTGTAGCCTGCAGAGACAGGGCGAGTCAGCGTGAGTGATGGCAGAGCAGCTGAGGTGTCCGTGCTTGGAGCCAGACGGCTTGGCCTCTCTCCCTGCTGACGGCAGGGGGGGGGCGGGGCCTTCGGCACACAGCGCGGCTGTGGTTGGATTTGCCGGGCGGCCAGGGGCGGCGCGTTCCACAGACGCCGGCCCCGTGGGGTAGGGTGTGAGGGGGTCGCTTCCCAGTCACTAAGTGCCCTTCCGGTGGCGTCCCAGGTCCCAGGAGCTGCTGAAACTCCAGGGCCAGGTGTCCAAATTCCCTCCGACGGCAGGAGCATGTTCTCCAGACTGCCCGGCACGTGTGGCAAGCGGCCTGCGCAGGCCACAGCCCTACTGAGCGCACAGAGCAGCCCCCTCGGGGGTTCAGCGGCACCTGGCCCTCTCCTTGCCCCACGCAGAGCATCGCCTTCACGGGAGAGGCACCATCCCGGGGGGCTCTCTCAAAGTGGCCAAACCGGGCTTTAGAACACACCGACTTCTCTTAGGAGCACCGCATGCACACACACGCACACGCACACACCGCTTTCACACACGCACGCACCGCTTTCACACGCACACACACGCACACCCCGCTTTCACACACAGACACACACACACACACCCCGCTTTCACACGCACACACACGCACACCCCGCTTTCACACACAGACACACACACACACACCCCGCTTTCACACGCACACACACGCACACCCCGCTTTCACACACAGACACACACACACACACCCCGCTTTCACACGCACACACACGCACACCCCGCTTTCACACACAGACACACACACACACACCCCGCTTTCACACGCACACACACGCACACCCCGCTTTCACACACAGACACACACACACACACCCCGCTTTCACACGCACACACACGCACACCCCGCTTTCACACACAGACACACACACACACACCCCGCTTTCACACGCACACACACGCACACCCCGCTTTCACACACAGACACACACACACACACCCCGCTTTCACACGCACACACACGCACACCCCGCTTTCACACACAGACACACACACACACACCCCGCTTTCACACGCACACACACGCACACACCGCTTTGACACGCACGCACACACACACACCGCTTTCACACGCACGCACACACACACACACACACACACACACACACACACCGCTTTCACACAGACACAGTGCTTTCACACACGCACACACCGTGTTTTCGTGCACACGCACACACACCGCTTTCACACACAGACACACATGCACACCGTTTTCATACACACACACCCCGCTTTCACACACACCCCACTTTCTCACACACACACACACACACACACACACACACACCATTTTCACTCAATGGGCCACGGAAAGTTGAATTTGCAGTGCCGATGCCCATCTTCCACCTTCGTCTCAGAAGGAAATGCTGGGCTGACCTCTGAGGCAGGGCCTCCTTTCAAGGCTCGGATGCCCTGTTGCTGGCCTCACATCGCCCCTCACAGCCAAGGCCTTTCCAGATGGCTTCTCCGACTGCTGCCTGCTGTGGTGGCCCTCCCCACACTCGGACTTCTCCTGGTGGTTTGCTCTTGGCCCCCTTTGCAGCCAACGTCTTCCCTCGACAAACGGCCCCTCAGGTTTTTCTTTTCCGGCCGACAGCGGCCAAGCCAGCGGGACCAGCGATCACGCAGGCCGCTCTGATGGATTCTCCATCCCCTTTCCCCGCCTGGTCTTTGTTCCCAACCTCTTTCGTTCGGAAAGGCTGGGTCTTGCGGTCAATGCACAGGCCTGAGCTCAAGTGATTCCCAGCCAGACTCCAGTGCGAGCGCGGTGGAAATCAATTCTCCCTGCCCCCCCTCCTGGATCGCAATCCCCCCACATCTCCAACATGCTCCGCACCTGTGTTGCAGCCAAGGGACCAGCAACCTGCGAGCGCCTCCTCCCAGAGTCACACCGACTCGCCAATCCTCACACGCGTGGCCTGGTTTTTCAAAGAATCCGAGCAACGCCGGCGCCTCTTCACGTCACTAGAGACGCGCCTTGGTGCACTAAAGCCAGGCCAGTCTGGGACTTACTGGAGCGGCTTCCTTCTCGCCCTCGCTTTCCACCGAGCCCTCGCTCTCCAGGGGCTGGGCTCTCAAAAAGTCGTGATTGGCCCTGGCCTCTCTGTTGAACGACGAACCCCCCCCCCCCCCTTCATGTTCTATAGGTCTGAAACAATACGTATAAGTCAGCATCCTTCCCGGCTTCTCCTCCCACAGCTCGTATGGTTACTTG